TCTCTGTTTGTGAACAGCAGGTCAAGCGTTGTAGTTGTGAAGAATTAGAACATTTGGAAAGGTCACTCGGAAGTTTGCGTAAGGTTTAGCTAATTCGTTACTGTTATTTTTTACATAGTTCCCAGTACTGTGGTTTCTAAATCTACAGCTCTACTAGTAAATGAAATAGGCCAGGGATTATGTTCTGGCCCTGAGGAATAGATCTGTCACTCAGTTCTAACTTTTTATTCAGTTTAGGTGTAATATTATTGTAAGGTAGTGTAGGAAATAATATACAATAACCATCAGAGAGAGAATAGACAAGAATGTGAGCTGTAGTTTATAGATGAATAACTGTTACAGGCAGTTAGTCTGCTTAGGTTCAGTTAGGCTAAGTGGAAAAGGTAGGGCCAGTAAATGTTAAAGATGCATGACAGAGATCTAAGTACTTTCCACAGGCAGAAGGGGAGAAAAGTAATTATGGAGACGCATATCCTTGTCCTTCCCAGCAGCTATAGTTTGGGACCATTTCTGATGAAGGTTTTGTTCATAGATAGCTATGTAAATGTTAAAACTCTTATTTACAAAGTGGTTTTCAGGCAGTTTATTCCTTTTAAAAATAATTCAGTTGTTCTGGGATATAAACAGTGATCATTGTATTACATACACTTCTGTAAAATCATAAGTTGCAGAGATTTAATTATTTTAGAAGCTTTCCTTCAGTAGTGTGTTAAGTAGTGAATTCCCTATGAGAAGAACTGTAAATGCTGAGCATCCTGTGTTTTTCTTTCATCTTTCTGCTGTGCTTTAGCCAGTTGTGAAGGAGGGAGGAGAATTGGATGAGCAGCTTGAGCGAGACCGCCTTCGGAAGGTTTTGAAGCGTATGAGAAAACTAAAGTGTACGAGGGAGGTAAGCTGCATTGTGCTAAGTATCCTGAATTAAACAGCAGCGGATGCATGAACGTAAAATATTATGAGAGTTCTGCTGGGTATGCTTTGGTGCTGGCCAAAGCTGGATTTGTTTCAAGATCCTAGCTATGCTTTTAAGACAGAGTATCATAGCATCATAGAATGGTTTGGTTTGGAAGGGACCTTTAAAGGCCATCTAGTCCAACACCCCTGCAATGAGCAGGAACATCTTCAGCTAGATCAGGTTGCCCAGAGCGCCGTCCAACCTGACCTTGAATGTTTCCAGGGATGGGGCATCTACCACCTCTCAGGGCAACCTTTTCTTCCTTATATCTAGTCTGAGTCTACCCTCTTTTAGTTTAAAACCATTCCCTCTTGTCCTGTTGCAACAGGCCTTGCTAAAAAGTTTGTCCCCATCTTTCTTATAAGCCCCCTTTAAATATTGAAAGGCTGCAATAAGGTCTTCCCGAAGCCTTCTCTTCTCCAGGCTGAATAACCCCAACTCTCTCAGCCTTTCTTCATAGGAGAGGCATTGCGTCCCCCTCCTCTGGACTTGCTCCAACAGGTCTATGTCTTTCTTGACATCCGTAGCTCTTCCCTTGTCCACTGGTGTCGTCACTCCATCATAGAAGGGCACTAGGCTGGGCAGGCAAGACTTGGTGAAGCCATGCTGGCTGTCTTGAATCACCTCCCTGTCCTCCATGTTCCTTAACATGGCTTTTAGGAGGATCTGTTCCATGATCTTCCCAGGCACAGAAGGAAGGCTGTCCCTGTGAGGCTGACAGGTAAGTCATTCCCAGAGTCCTCCTTTCTATCCTTTTTAAAAATGGGTGCAATGTTTCATAGAATCATACAATCACAGAATCGTTAAGGTTGGAAAAGACCTCTAAGATCATCAAGTCCAACCGTCAACCCAACACCACCATGCCCACTAAACCATGTCCCTAAGCACCTCATCTACACGTCTTTTAAATACCTCCAGGGATGGTGACTCCACCACTTCCCTGGGCAGCCTGTTCCAAGGCCTGACCACTCTTTCAGTAAAGAAGTTTTTCCTAATGTCCAGTCTAAACCTCCCTTTTTCCAGTCACTGGGAACGTCACCTGACTGCCGTGATTTTTTCAAATATTGTGGAGGGTGGCTTGACAACTACATCAGAAAATTCCCTCAGGACTCTGAGGCAAAAAAGTTGTTGAGTATCTCAGCCTTCTCCTTGTCTGTTGTTACCAGTTTGCCAGTCATGTTCATCGGGGGGGGTACACTTTCTTTGACCTTCCTTTTCTGGCTGACATACCTATAGTAGCCCTTCTTATTATTCTTTGCATCCCTTGCCAAGTTCAGCTCCAGCTGCACCCTGGCCTTCCTGACCCCATCCCTATTGAACCGGGCAGTATCTCTCTACTCGTCCCAGGGTACCTGTCCCTGCTTCCACTGCCTGTGCATTTCCTTTTTACCCTTTAGTTTGACCAGCAGGTCTCGACTCAGCCATGCCAGTCTCTTGCCTTCCTTTCCTGATTGCTTACACATGGGGATCAAGAGCTTGGGATGGTGACTCCACCACTTCCCTGGGCAGCCTGTTCCAAGGCCTGACCACTCTTTCAGTAAAGAAGTTTTTCCTAATGTCCAGTCTAAACCTCCCTTTTTCCAGTCACTGGGAACGTCACCTGACTGCCGTGATTTTTTCAAATATTGTGGAGGGTGGCTTGACAACTACATCAGAAAATTCCCTCAGGACTCTGAGGCAAAAAAGTTGTTGAGTATCTCAGCCTTCTCCTTGTCTGTTGTTACCAGTTTGCCAGTCATGTTCATCGGGGGGGGTACACTTTCTTTGACCTTCCTTTTCTGGCTGACATACCTATAGTAGCCCTTCTTATTATTCTTTGCATCCCTTGCCAAGTTCAGCTCCAGCTGCACCCTGGCCTTCCTGACCCCATCCCTATTGAACCGGGCAGTATCTCTCTACTCGTCCCAGGGTACCTGTCCCTGCTTCCACTGCCTGTGCATTTCCTTTTTACCCTTTAGTTTGACCAGCAGGTCTCGACTCAGCCATGCCAGTCTCTTGCCTTCCTTTCCTGATTGCTTACACATGGGGATCAAGAGCTTTTGCACTCTGTGGAAAGCGTCCTTAAAGATCTGCCAGCTCTGTTCTGCTCCCTTGTCCCTGAGGGCAGTTTCCCAGGGGGTCCTATTGACTAACTCCTTGAACAGCTGGAAGTTTGCCTTCCTAAAATTCAGGGTCCTGACTTTACTCTTCACCTGTCCCATATGCCTCAGGAGATCACTGCAGCCCAGGCTGCCTCCAGTCGTGTTGTCTCTGATTAGCTCGCTTGCGTTGGTGACCAACAGGTCCAGTAACGCATCCCCTCTGGTAGGGCTGTCTGTTACCTGGTTTAAGAAGTTACACAGCAAAGGTATGACTTTATAAATGCGTTCAGTGGAAGATGTCAGGGAGGAAGAAGTTAAAGGATAACCATTTTACCTTGCAACGGTATTATAAACTGTTCACAGAATTACACAATTGTTAAGGTTGGGAGGGAACTTCTGAGGTCATCTAGTTCAACCCCTGTGCTCAAGCAGGGTCAGCTAAAGCTCTGAGTATTTGATGTGTTGGTGTCTTCAGGGAGGATCGAGAGAACACTGGATTGTTTTGTGTGCACCAAAAGTATTTTATTAATGTGTACTTCTGCTCTGCCTTAGTTGTTTATGGTAGCTGGGAAGATGTTTTTATGCATAATTAACTGTGAGTTTGTCTGTGGTTTTTGAAAATACTGAGATTGGCGACAGCTAGAGAAGGGGATGGAGGGCAGATGGATACATGTAAGAACATTAAAAACTTGCTGATGCATGTTTGATTTGTCCTGTTTCCAAGCTCAGTGTTAAGTTGATCACTGGATTCAGGGTTAGGAGATATTCTAGTAAGTGACGTCTGCAGGAACCATTAGAGTTTTTGTTGTTCTCCACTGCAGCATGAGACAATATCTGTATCCTAGGAATAGCTGAAAGTTTTATCTACCATCACCCTAATATTGCTGCGTTCTAGACAGTTTGACCAGCCAACCAAATATAAAGCCTTCCTCTTTTTCTGCCCAACTCCTCCATTTGTATCTGAAAATCTTTCCATTTTGTGCATCCTCATTTAACATCTTGCTTCTTCATTCCATATATTGAAATTTTCTGTTGCCCACTACCTACAAAGAAGTTCTAAGAAACAGTTTCTGCCAGTTGCACCCAATTCTTTGCCCCAGATTTTGTTTATCTGAACAGACTGACATTAAAGTTTACTACCTGATTGTCTCTGGTCTGGCAGGAAAAGTGATAGTACTTTGGTCAGCAAACTGTGGATTCTATACACAGTGGTCTTGTGATCACTGGAGAGCGTTTTTCTTCCATGCGTTTTTCTTCTACATTGACAGGGCTGCACAGGCAGCTTCACTAGCATAATGGGATACCTATATCATGTTAAAAAATGTGGGAAGGCTGTTTCTGAGCTGGAGAAAATGGCTATGAAGTGCCATCACTGTGGAAAAGCATACAAATCAAAAGCAGGACTTGTCTACCATCTCCGATCTAAGCATGGGCCGGTAAGTGCAAATTGTCATAGTTATCAGGATAGTGTGGTGGTACTTCAGCCATTCAGACTTGAGATACACATAGGCTTTTGTCTGCTACTTGGGTGGGTAATTAGGGATAGCAAATCTTTGCATTTTTTTGTCTTTCTGGAGCATTCTGTCCTTGATACTTTCCTTCTAGCAGCAGCTGTTGCTGTTCTGTGACTAGGATGAAGCTTTTAGTAGTAAATCACCGTGGCAGCAGTAGAATTCCCCCAGCCTGACTTTTGCTTCATGGAAGAATGATGCTAACATGTATAACTTGTGAGATGCTTTTCTTTGCTCTTAAAAGACCCAACATTGGAGCAGAACAGGCAGTACTATGCTTGTTGTCCATGAGGGTTTTACGGCAAATGATGTGATATCCTTTCAAGACCAGTGGCTGCATGTAACTCTGCTTGAGCCTTACTGCTGTGACCCCCCTGAGTAGATCTGAGGGTCTGTCTCACTAGTGGGATGCACTCCTGTCCTATGTCTGTGACAGTGAACCACAGCTGCAGCAGCATTTTTGTGAGGGATTTGGTAGAATATTTATTCACAGTATTTAGTGTAACTGAAATAGGAACTAGTGAAGGAGGTCACCTTTTTTGGCCTTCATTGCAGGTCACTTTCCTCCATGAGGAGAGAAGAACCGAGAGCCTGAAGGAAATAAAACGGGAGCCAAATAACACAGGCAGAGTTCAGAGGAGATCTGCAAAGGTGGCAATCTACTATCTCCATGAGTTAGCTGGAGAAGAGCTGGCCAAAGAGTGGCCCAAGAGAAAGGTTCTGCAGGACTTGATTCCAGATGACCGGAAGGTACAAGGTCTTAAAAATGCTATATAGGGTTTGAGTCTTTCTTCACATCAGATGAGCCTTGCACTAGCATCTATCCAGTGTTGCCAGTGTTTAGTGGACCATGGAAAGCAATTACTGAGGAAGTAATACCTTCTGGGAGGGATCAGGTTTTGCTCTCTCTGGTCTTAGATTACAGTATTGCTACAGTAGCAATTACTGTGGTATAAGTATTTTATCCAGGCAGGCTATAATGACTTTCAAGTCCCATTGCTGTAATTTTCAGTGGGCACACTGAAGGCATTTATAGGCAGTATGTTGCTCACAAGTCATAGGCTGCAGATCACTGCTGCCATGCAGGGATATTTCATAGTTTTGCAGGCTTCAGAGTTTCCAGGAGCATCTTTTAGGCTGTAAAGGAAACCCAAGGGAAAAGGATGATTTATAATTTTAATGGGGTAGGTACCTTTAGAGGAAATGTTGTAGTCAAGGTTATGGGAAGTTTCGGATTCTGGTATTCGGGGGGTTTTCCAGATTCAGTTATGTTTGTAGAGAGTCAGCGAGATGGGAAGAGATTGGTTATTGAGAGTTTGGCTGTTAGAGTAGGAGAAGAAATAGCACTTCCTGTCTCACAACCCGGGAGAGAAAGGGACATACTTGGCACTATGTGTAGCCAACATTGCCTCCAGCTTTCAATTCCATCTCTTTATCTCAGCTGAAATATACTCGTCCTGGACTGCCCACATTTAGTCAAGATGTGCTGTGCAAATGGAAAACGGAGATAAAGATGTACCGAAGAGTCCACTGCCCAAATCAGGTAATCCTTAAGTGTTTCTGAAGCCTCAAAGGGGACAGATTTCAGGTCTGTATGAGCCAACAGCTTTCCACAACCTTGAAACTCTTTGTGGGAGACAAATTCTACTCCATCTCAGTATGGTTGTTAGTGTAACCAAGACCCTGTTTGGACTGTTGCCCTAGGGACTAGGGACTGGTACAGCTTTCACATCCAGCTGGGAGCTGGTCCATTTGGAGTTCGAGCAGTGGAAAAATGACAGGCCCCTGCCTGTCTAGCAGGTGTACTAAATCTAATTATAGAAGAAGGGAGGAGTAGAGATGGAAATGTAAGAGTAGAGGGACTTTGTCTGGCACAACACTTAATTTTTCTTTTGAAAGCTGGAAATGGGCTACAGAAAACTCATGCATGGCACTGTCGTCCTGGTCTAGGGATGCTTATGCACATGCACTTAGTTTCTTACAATCCCACACAGCAGTCGCCAGTCAGATCCAGTGAGAAGGAATGGCCCCATTGGTGGAAACTATCGTACATGTGATGCACTTGACACACACTGCTGGATAGCCAAGGGTCAGCAGTGGCTTCCATCTGGGTTTGGTGTAGAGACAATGCCTTCCCCCTGCCCTACCCCACCCCCAGCACTCTCTCCCCTGTTTTCAGGCTTGCATCATTTCCAAATACGAGAGTTGCAACATAGCTTTGTATATGGAGCTGTCCTCAGAAAGCAGCTGTCCTGTTTCACCGACCAGTAACTAAAAAGCATGTCTTGCACCTACCTCCTGTTTCAGGGTCTGGGCTGTTGGATGAGCATGATCTAGTATCCCGAGACTGATGCCTAAAGCTCCACATAGGGTAGGCCTGTAAAGCTGCCCTTTAACTGAGATCATTGATGTCAGATGCAGTACTTCTGTGCCACTAGATACACGAGCAGGGCAGGAGAGATTGAAGTGTCTTGTACTTGCCCCTGTGCTTTGTTTGAAATTAATCTCTGCTGCACTTTTGGCAAAATGCAAACTCACGCTTTTGATAGAGGGTGAATGTAACTGTGACAGGAGTCTCTTTATTACGTCTAAATGTGCTCAGAAACTGAAACTATTTAACTTACTGAAAGTTTAAGTCTCTTTTAACGATCTTTTTACCAGAAACGTTCTCGCTTTGTAGGACTCAGTATCTCCCTCCCTCTACCTCTGTTACCCCTTTTGGAATTGTCTTCCAGAGAATAAGACTTTCTTGTGCAGGAAGAAATGATTTCTTATTAGACTTTTGCTGACACGCACTTTTTTTACTGTTTCAGGGTTGTGAATCTGTATATGCCAGTGTCTCAGGACTCAAATCTCACCTTGGCACGTGTACCTTGGTTGGTAGCCTTACTGTACTCACTATCTTTTATACCAATAGCTTGACTGTCCCTGTCCCTCAGATATCTCCTAATTCAAGCTGTTGTCCTGCCATCTGCTAATCTGAGTTTCTCACAATTTGAGTGCTTTCCTATGTGTTAATGGGGTTGCCATTTCATACACTGCTTGAGGCAAGGAGGAAGCATCTTAATGGCATGCATTTTAGTGAAACTGCAATCCTACCTGTAAATTCACAGGTACAAGAGCATCTTTTCCAGGTGCAGTGCTGGAGACCTTGTAACATCTCACAGAGCAGTCCTATGCTTTGTGGGCATAACTGGTCAATAATGTCAGTGCTCCTGTAGCTGAAGCATTGTCTGGTATGAATAAGAGTTTCTACTTCTTACTGCTGGGTTATATCTGAGCAAGATTCAAATACAATATATAGGCGTATCAGCCTTCTAGGCAGCAGTTGATGATGAATTTTTTTGTTTTGGTGCCAGGGAGACTTTGTGGCTGGTAAATACAAGTGTCTCCTGTGTGAGAAGGAGTTCATTTCAGAGAGTGGGGTCAAGTATCACATCAACTCTGTGCATGCTGAGGTAAGGCAGGCAGAATGGAAGTCCTCAAACCCCAGGTTGTTGGAGGTGGGGAGGGTGTCTTGGGAAAGTAATGCTGGATGCTTGCCCTGTTTTATTTTTCCCTTGCTCACTGCTGGGAACCGGGTCCCAGACTCAAGTGGCCTTTGATTTGCTTCAACATCGCTGGTCTTACGCATTGGTCTGGGGAGCAAGTGTTGTATCGTGTCACATGTCTTGTCCCAAGCTGCTGCTGCTCAATTCAGCTCTTCAGCATTTCCCATGCCTTTAGCCAGGCAATTGCCAAATCAAACCTGAATCCTCTGAGACAGAGTGACACCTGAGGAGGAACATCGAAGAACAGAACTTTGTTAGGCAGCTGCCTTCCCAGATCTCACATTTCAGGAAACCCTTGTCCTACAAGACAGCTTTATTATAAGCCCTGATAGGCTTTATATGGTATTTCCACCATCAGTACCAACCTGTTGCCTTCTAAACCCTCCAGGACTGGTTTGATGTGAACACAACTACCACCAAAAGCTTTGAGAAGCTAATGAAAATCCGCCAAAGAGAAGAGCAGAGGAAGCAACGGAAGAAACGTCCTGTGACCCGGGGCAAAAAGAAGAGAACTGGGACCCTGGCTGCCAAGAAGCTCCCTGCTGCTGGAATTGAAAAAATGAGGAGAAGTAAGAGAGGTCGTCCACAGCGGGTGGACAATGAGAGCGCGAGTAGTGAGGAGGGGGAGCCCCAAGTTGCACAGAGAGCCGAATTTCCAAAAACCAGCCGCAAGCGAGGCCGGAAGTAAATCCCTGGAAGAAGAGAAGGAGTAATCCTAAAGCTTTTCAGTTACAAGCCCCAATTCTGTCAGGCTCATAACCCACAACACTAATATAAGCAACTGAATGTCTTTGGGACTGTGACTCCGTTCTACTCGGTGACCTTAATTTTGAAACTGTTGCTTCTGGTCAGTTCTGAGAGACTTCAAACCAAAGCTGTGGTACAGAGGCTGCCTCTCCTGGTGTAGTTCCCTTGGACAGTGGCACTAGCAATGTACCCAGCGTAGTTCCTGCTCTGACTACAGTCTCGGTTTGGGTCACATTAGTTGCTTGTTTAGTGGTTTCCAGTACAGCAGCTGTCTGTTTTGTCATCTTCCTCTGATGGGTGAGATCAGGGTTCTTTTTTAGTAGTTCTCCCTATAAGGGACTGACTAGCATAGTGTTTAGGTCTCTTTAAGGGGAGAATTCTTTCTTGCACAGTATGTACACAAACTAAGCAGCGCTGTGCAGAGTACAAAGGCTTTAGCTTGCCCTGTAACTGTCCTGTCTGTTGTCAGAAAGGCTGCCACAGAAGAGCACATACCTTCCTAGCATGTACTCCAGTCTGTTGCACAAGGCACTGTCTCTACTTCATACACTGATGTTTAGGCTCAGCACCAGACAGTAGCACATGAGCTCTGGTTTGCTTGGAAGTGATGGGACATCATTATTACCCTCGTCAGGAACCCAGTATTCCCCTGGCATCTGTGTTCTGTAGCACTGGGCATTGAATGTATGTAGAGGGTCTTCCAGTCCAGTGAGGAATAAACACTCTCCAGCCTTTTGGAGATTCACTGGCCTTTCAGAGACCCCCAGTAACTAAGTAATAAGATGGCCTTCATGGGCCCTCTGAAGACCACTTGTTTCAGACTCACCTGGGAAACAAACTTACTGCAAGACAGTGCATACCTGCAATAGCAGTCTTGCTAATGCTGAAACCCAGGTTCCATTGAACTACCTTGCCAGTGTGTTGTTCTTTGTCATGCCCACACTCCATAGTGTCATTTTTTTCTGCACTGTAGACGCCACCTTCATTGTCTTACATTACCTGTTTCTTTTCAATACTGCTTCCTTTGTGTGAATGAGGTGTATTAGCAGTGGCTTCCCTGTGTGGAAAAGCTTAAAAGAAGAGGGTTCATTATTTTAAGTCAGGTGTTGGCATGAACTCTGGATCATAGGCAATATCCTCCTGTGCTCCATAAATGCAGCATATGCATAGAAGCTAGTAGGAAGCAACAGCACAGGCAGTCCTACTCTGTTTTTCAGAGGGTGGGTTCTCCAGAATTTCTATTATCCAAAGACCCACTGTACCAGGAAGTTGCAAAATTTGACCTTTTTCTTGCAGTTTTGCAGGCAAGAAAATAGGCAGCTGGCTCCATGTTACCTCCCTGTGAATTTTCACAGTCTACCAAAGTTGCTAGTGCTGAAATTCCCAGGGAAGCGCTGAACAGGCAGGTTTATACGTATGTTATTACCAGAATAATCACATTGGCCCTGACAGTGGGAAATGCTGTATGGCCAGGGTGTTCTCAAGAACTGCCTCTCCCATATAATAAGCAAAGCAGACCCCAGCTGAGCACAGTCTGTCTCTCATGGGGACTAACACGTACATGGTAGTGAGACAGCGTGCAGTGCTTCGTTGTGATGTACATGCAGTAGTTACACTGCCTTTTGGAACCAGCTGTCACTGTGGTTGCAGTGCTGCACTGAAAGTATAAATATGTGGACTTCTGTCCAGGGTATGTAAGATTTGCAGTAAGAGAGGCAAGATCAGAAGACAACAAAATAAAATGTCACCAGTGCGAGAATGTGGTTTCTTGTCTGTTTGGTGTGTAGTGTTCTTGGTACCATCCCTACTTGCACAGCACACCTGAGCCTGCCCACTTGGTTGTCCTGCATGCTCTGGTGCTGTTCAGTTGTCTGCACCATTTCTCCTCAGTACTCCACTCTACACAGCTGTACTTTCACGACACGTTTACTACCTTCCTGCCCAATAGATGGACAACACGATAAGCCCATGAAATAAAGGAGGTTCTTCTTAGTGGATTTCAGTCTAGAGTCCTATTTACTGTCATGTATGAGTTACTAACCAGACCTGCTTTCTGGACATGGATACTTTGTGACCACCTGGATTTTGTAGAGTTGAATCAACAACATATTTCCCCACATAACATGGCATGTGGAAAAAAATTGTTATCCAACAGTCCATTCATGCTCCATCAGTGTTACAGCAGATCATTTGCTGGATTGGCTCCAGCTGGTAAGAGGTGGTGGTACTGCTGCACCAGCGCAGTCCACTGCTTTTGAGGATCTGTTCAGGAGCACCTGCATCCTGCTCTAGATGGACTAAGGCAGGCTACCCAATATGACTGCAGCAGCGCTCTACTGCTCTGAGGGCATGGGAAAATTTAGCGTCAAGGAAGGTATTTTAATTGGGGAATTCACAACATCATGTGTATCCAGGGCTATAAATAACATACAAAACCAGCTAATTGTACTGCAGCTTACTGGGCTAAGATTTACTGTTCAAGCACCCATGAGTCTACTGTTCAATCCATTGTTAATTCAGTTAGCTTAACGCTTTGCAAATCCAGGTAAAAATTCTACCCTCCTTAATGATTCTATGATTCTATGACCACCATGCTGTATCATCTCTTTCATTACCTGGTTAAGATCCTTCACAAAATTAATTTGATTTCTCTTTTCCTCTTTCACCACTGGAAGACATTCACACCTCACTCCTTTGAGGTTTGCATCTCTCTTACTTGTTTTAGCCGAAATTCACTAATGGCCAGTGAACACTGACCACAATACTGACCCCTTGAATAAATAAATGGAAATCATGTGGTTCCTCAAAGCCCCATCCAGCCTGACCTTGAACACTTCCAATGTTGGGGCATCTGCAGCTTCTCTGGGCAACGTGCTCCAGTGTCTCACCACCCTCATCGTAAAAAATTTCTTCCTTATGTCCAGTCTAAACCTACCCTCTTTCAGTTTAAAACCATTACCCCTTGTCCTATCACTGAAGGCCTTAGGAAAAAGTCTCTCTCCATTTTTCTTATAAGCCCATTTACATAGTGAAAGGCCGCATTAATGTCTGCCTGAAGCCTTCCCTTCTCCAGGCTGAACAACCCCAACTCTCGCAGCCTTTCTTCATAGGAGAGGCGTTCCAGCCTTCTGATTGTTTTTGTGGCCCTCCTCAGAACCCACTCTAACAGGTCCATGTCTTTCCTGTACCGTGGGCCCCAGAACTGGACACAGTGCTCCAGGCAGGGTACCGTGAGAGCAGAGCAGAAAGGGAGAATCACTTCCCTCGACCTGCTGGCCATGCTTCCTTGGATGCAGCCCAGGGTATGGCTGGCTTTCTGGGCTGCAAGCACACATTGCTCTCTCATGTCCAATTTTTTGGTATCCCCAAGTCCTTCTCCGCAGGGCT